CTCAAGTGAACGACAGAAATTACAATGCCAAGTTCATTATTTAAACTTAACTGCTTTGTGAAGAAATAATTCACATAATAAAGAGTCTAAACGCGCATCGCTGCATTTTTCATTGTATCTACTTCCCACAGTTTGGTAATATCTAATTAATGAACCTTTAATTAAAGTTTTCTCGCATTTCAAACCCGCAGGTGCGATAATTATTAAGTACACTCGTCAACCTTCGGGTTTGGGGTTGGTGTATTGGCAGAGCCCCATTGACAGCTCCAGTCACGGTTGGGGGAGCCTTTTTATACCCGTCTGTGCCTGTTCAATGGGACCGAATGCTAATAAGCGATAATCAGGCTAGAGTTTCATGAGAAAAGATTTAGTTCAGCTTTGTTTAAGAAAGTACTGTTGGTGAAAAATAAGACATTTTCTGCGATCTGTGGAGAAACAGTCTAGGAAGAGAATGAATTTTGTGTAAAAACAGGGTTCCTAATTACTGAGAGTGGAAGGTAAGATAAACAGGTATCTATTGATCGAAATGTAGGTATTCGACATTCCCGTATACCTCATTAAGAATTTTTTTTTTTAATTTTTTAATTCAAAGCTGTTATTTCTAATAGCTATGATATATCTTCATATCAAATACTAGTAACATATTACATAATCTAGCTGTTCTCAAGTTTAGCGGAAAACTAGGTAATTCATGCATTAAACAAGAATACATTTTTCTATTATGTAACTCTCCTTTTGTCGTGGTTCCGTTTCAAAGCTTTAAGTAATTTTCCACTTTTGTTTGCATTTACAAAACTTTCAATTTGTGTCTATTTTATATAAGTTCGTGACTTTTTTTTTTTTTAAGGACATATGCAACGTAGTTTGAACTTTATTGGCTTTTTCCCTGGAGTTGAAGAGTTCCAATGCTTAAAGGAACTATGTGCTACATATTAATGTCTATATATGCTGTTGTACACTTCTTCTAAAACAAGTTTGGATAAACAAAATATCTAGAATATATGATAAGTATTTTTTGTATATTTTCCTTTGAATTATACAAAAAATTTCATCAAGTGATATCTTTTCAAAACCCCTGGTAATGCATGCTGATTTTTTGTCTACGAACATTTGATGGCACTATAATCTTAAATTAAGAATATCTTGAAAAATTATCACTAGGTAAGGTACGTTGCGTATGTCCTTAAATATTTAACACTAACTGTTCGATGATGATATTTCTGAGGTATTTCTTAAACTTACCAAGTAAATAGTCTTCATATATACATATATATTTATATGTTTAAGAAAATCTATTTTTATAAAATTGTATTATTATGTCACACCTTGGGGGAATGGTATCTAGTATTACTTAGATATATCTTAAGGCTGGAAACTAACCAATGCAATTACCGCCATAGACATCTCTCTCTCTATCTTTCTCTCTCTCATAAAACTTGCTGAAATTGTATGAAGAAATGTATTGTTCTCTCTGTGTAAGTTACTTTTTTTTTCTACATATGCGCACATCAGAAATAATCTAATACATGTACATCTTCGATAGAATTCTCAAAGAGAAAGCCAACATACACACGGTAAACCTCTAAATATAAAAATGTTCAGGGGGGGGGGGGGGTGAAGAAATCCCAAATCCACCCCTGGTATTTTACATACATGTACAATTACAACTAGAAGTCAAGAACCACTGATTAGAACAAAGAAAGGGATTTTGTCTTCTTTCTGCCGTTTCTTCATCGCGATGGCATTGCATATGTATGTAAATTGGCAATGGTTATATTCCCTTACTGTAGACACTGACGAATCTATACTACAGTCTTTGAAAAGTTTACTGTGGCTCCAATGACTAGATAAACAATATCGATCTGTCAAGTCAAACTTTACTTTTTTTTAATGACCCTGACACCCACATTTCTTCTTTCATGATGTTTCCAAAAGGACGCCAATAAATAATAAAAATAAGTTTACACCAGTTTAGTTTTTATGTCTGTTACATGTGTCTCCCTCCATTGGTTTGCTATGACTAATACGCTTTTGATGTTTTAAAAATTATTTTACATACAATTTCCTTATGGGTTTCACATTTGTTTACCTGTTTAAAACATAATTCATGAATAAATAAGTCATTTGCTACCCTCGCATTATGTTATCGCTGAGCAAGCATGAATGGTGGTGGACTAACCAGGTTTGCTCTCTTTCTTTTTTTCCCTTTGATGTTTAAATAAAAAAATAAAACCGTCATTTTAATATTCATAACACACAGTTTTTTGTCATCTTATTCAAAAGATGCAACTTAATATATCTACTAGGTTTCTAACCATCGACCAACCAGTTTTAAAGGTATATAGACAATTGTTTTCATTCACAGAGCGTCTGGAGTAACCTTGAGAATTTTTCTGAAATTGAATATAAAATACAAATGTCTCTATGGTGGTCTATTTTGTTATCTTTCCTCATGGGTAAATAGTCTTGGTATTGGCTTTGTTCTTCTTTCATAAACTCCATTGACTTCTGAAAATACAAAACAGAATATGTGCTTTTCACAGTTCGGACAAAAACAGGGGTTAATCTTACAAACAATATTTATGTAAACGTACAGGACTTAGTATTTAGTAAACAGACCAAATAAGATTATAGGATGTCACTTTGTAAAGCGGATTTGCTACAATCTCCCTGTAGGGATTGTCGGTCACGTGGTTTTATTACACCGAACCCGACTATTAAAATGTAATCATTTACTTCCAAGTGAATTGTTTTTTCATTTACCATGTGATTTTGTCTAGATGATCATTTTTTATTATAATTTTTTTTTGTCTTCACAGAACTGAGAATGTAGATTGTTTATTTTATGAAATGGAGTTTAATCATAGCAATCAAATGGTTTTGTTACACATCATACCAGAGACTGATTAGAATACACACTGTATATTATTACTAAACGGAAGAATAGCTAACTTAAGATTACATCACGATTTCTAGTTGATTTAGTTTGTAAAATAATCAGATGATTTGTTAGTTTGTTCAGTTCCACTGGGCTTTAAAACCACATAGTTACTGGTATCAAGATATTGATCTTGTACACCGCGGATGATACAAGTGAGTCTGATATCATCTATAAATTTGATCCCTTATCTTTGAAACAAAGTTTCTTTGACTATAATTTTAAAGACCCACAGAATACGGCTCAACTACAAATAAAATAAGATCTATGACTAGCTGTACGCGTGTAATCCTTCGTTGGTGATTCACTGCCCAAATGGGATTCCCAAAAGTGCACGAAGCATAGCCTATATATATCTATTTTTTCCTGTACGTGTCGAGGTAAAAACGAAATAAATTATACTTCAAAAATGAATTAAAGGCTGTTGTGTAATATTTACTTTTCACTCGGGTCGTTGCGATAAGATTGGAGTTCTTTTTTTAACATCCAAAATAAGCAAAGTGCATGGTGTTTTGTACATCGTCACCATGTTGTATATGCATTGCAATATCTGGGTATATTGACATTATGTAGGGATATTGACATAACACGAGGAAAAAAAACTGCAATGGCAAATACAAGTACTATTTATCATTCTTATCTTTCTTCTTCTTGTCAACAAAGCCTCAATTAAAAGAGAGTCCTTATGATCACTAAGCCCTTAGATTAAGTGGAAGTGAAGTTTAGACAGAGTTTTGGATACAGACATTGATTTTTAGGTGTGCTTGGTGCAAGATATGGGTAGGTAAAGTTTCTGTTATGTCCGTATCATGACTTTCTCTACCGACAAGGACAAACAAGAAAATTGATGAATGGTAGAATACTTATAACGTGTAAGCTAGCGCATCTTTCTGTAAGGAACGTACAGGAATAGGGTAAGGGTCTTTTATGTAAAAGTTGCAGATTTGTTAATGTCCATTATTTGAATACAAAATCATTACATTTCAGTCAAAAAGTATGACAATTTAGGAATCCCAATGATCGGTTTTTATTCAACCATCATTTTTCGTTTTAGAATCAATACATGCATTAAATTTGATGCAAATATTTTGTAACTCTTACTTGTCTATACGAAATTATTAATTTTAGTTTTAAATTTTGACCTTTAAAAACATTTAATTTATTCATCCTTATTTATTTATTGGCTAAAACAAATGATGATACATTTGCCACTGTTAAATGTTGCAAACTCTTAACTTATAAGAAGTATTTTGCTCATTTTTAATTTCTACATGCAATAAATTGGCGAATATTCAAATCAGGTATACAGTGATTACTCGGGATGGGCAGATTGAAGCTTAGCTATTTAAAAGGATTTTTTGACTATTGCATAGCATACAAACATAGTGAACTGTGTAAAATGTCAAATAACAACAACAACAACAACAATTAGCTAAGAAAATTTAGATTTATAACAGTTCTGAATTCTACTGCAATTGACAGTGACCTTTAGCCACTATACTTGTTGTTAATGGCCGCTCTTTACACGCACTAGGTCAACAATTAAAAGTCAAACTTCGGTGCCCAAATGTTAGGTAATAAAAGTTAGATCCTTGTGGTTTGAGCTTTAATATTCTACAAATCCTTCTCTTTGAAGTGTAATATTATGCAATGCCTCTTAAACAAGTTGACGGAAACTACCAACAATATTCTGTAATTTTGGTGGGAAAACAAGTAATAATGTTTAATGATCAGTTTTATGACTTAAAAACTTTGTTGATCTGATTTTATTGCATAGGTGTTGCGTACAACTAATAAAGATATCTATATTTTCGTCTTCTGGATGGGTAAGTTTTTCATGACGTTAGCGAAATCTTTGCCTTTAAATCCAGGGTGAGATTATCTCGGGGTTATCCTAATCTACTTAATTATCCAATGTGTGTGGTTCCCTCACAACCAAATTTTAGCAGGTATTTTATTATATAGTTAACTTTATATGAATTAAGACAGTACTTAGAGCCTTTAATCAGTTAATTGCACGTACTTGTGTGCTTTGATATTACTTCACACCTTTTATTTGCAGTACACAGTGTCAAGATGTGACTGAATCCTCTTTTGCTGTCTTCAAAACCAAGAAGTACGAGTTTTGAATTTATTCTTTGGATTACTGTATTTGTGTCTCTTGCTAGTATTTGAAGTTTGTCAACAAAAATGTCTTGGTTCAAATTTTGGAAAAGCTCAAAATCAAAATCGAAGGACATTAAAGATGAATATCAAAAGGAACTTAAAAGAGCAGAATCCCTAAGAGAAGATTCCAATTTAACGGAAGCGGAACGTGAAAAGCAAAAACTAAAGCACACTCTGTCAATTTCCCGATCTGGGAGATTCAAGCATAAAAAACGAGAACGAGGAGCGATTCTGGATAAACCGGAACTATTTGATAAAACAATGGACAATGGCAATGGAGGAAGACCTACAGTGAAGCCACCGAATCCTCCATCCGGGCACTCACGATCTCCAAACAACACATGTCGAGATGTTCGGGATGTGTTTCAGTCTAACTATACTTCCCATGTGGCAGCGGTTTGAAAATTATCTCCCAACGTAGTACCAAAGTGTGCTTTTGCAATAATGATTAAATGCGTGCATTGATAAAAAAATTATAAAGGGCAATATTTATAAAGAACATTTAAGACATTGTACTTAAAAATCATACTTTGCAGGGCTTGCTGCCAAAGAAGTGTCGTAGTGCTATCCGAAAATTTTCTGTCTCAGCTTGACAACAGTGCTGTTGTCCAAAGTGTACAGGACTTTTTTTTATGTAGTCTTCTTTTTTACACCAAAATCACGTTCGGAGTAGTTAAGAAATTATATGTGATTTGGACTTTGAGGAAAAAGTTTAGTGTTAAAGAATGATCCCAATGACCTTTCATATATTCATTCATAAAATGTTTTTGTATATGTATACCGTATTCTATTGTGAAACATTTTGTTTCACGTTTCGTAAAATTAATTTTTTGTTACATTGTATGCCCATTCTGACATAGAATTGATTTTTGCTTTTTTTATTGCATTTTATTTACCTTGATTGTCATTTCAAACCTTATACAGCTTTTCTTTGAAGAAAAAAATTCAACTTGATTGAAAACAATCTCCTTATACAAGATTTAAAGCTTTAGTTTGTCTGGTGCCAATAACCCAAAGAAATGATTTTTCACTTTGATTTCATACACAAAATGCCTTCTTTTGATCCTTTAAAGGGAATATAATCACCGAATGCAATTGTTCAAGAAAATGAAAAAACCTTGATTTTTATCTCGTATTTTCTGTCCGTTGCGACGAGACGTCTATCTCGTGTTGTTTTCGAAGACAATGGAGTTGGAAAAGTCCACTACAACAAAACAATTCACCAGAACTCAAGTTCTAGATGACTTTAGATTGTCATCTTAATCACCAATCGCTTATAAATTACAACTGTTTTTAAGGAGTCAATGTACAATATCTCCCATGCATAAACAACTTGCTTTTTTACTATATAAGAAACTGGCTTAGTTAAAATATGCAACACGTGATTTGAAAAGCGTAGTTTTCTTATTGTAACATGCGGGCGATATGAATACATTCTGTGTTGGAGATGTTGGATAAATCCATAAAATTCTACTGTGATTATCTATGTTTGTAATGAATATGTTTTGTTTAACATAATAAATACGACAAAAGCCGTGTTTGTTCTTTTTAAAATGGCGGATAAAATAAATCCCTTCCAATCGGCATCAAAGAGTAATCATTCTCTGTCATCTGGAAAGATCTGTGCAAAATTAACATATACCTCACTCTAGTTTCAATCCATCAGCTGCATCAAAATTGTTTTGGCTGGAAGGACGGGAAGAAAACTTGCATAAACAGTGGGATAGAAACGTGATAAAAACGAAAACATTTTAGACCATTATAGGGTGTTTGATGTTAGATTATGTTGTCCGTAACTTTAAGGACAATGTTTTCCCCTTATCTTTCTCTTTTAGAATTTCAAGGACAAAGAAATACAAGTTTTGTATAGCTTTCTATTTGCTTGTCCCAGTTTGGGTCATCTGATATATGAAATATTTATCAGAGAAAGACATCCTCAATTCACATTAACCTTATAGGAAGAGGGTTGATATTTATGGAATTACATAAAATTCAATTTAGAAATATTCAGAGTTTGATTGGCCTAAAGACAAACATAAGGTTTCTCCAAACACTAACATACTGGCTATACTAAGTGCTTCTTTTAACCAAGTAATTTGTCGTAACTTAAAAGCAACTCTCTAAACAAATACACTGAAACATGAGAGCAGAATAGGCTGTAATGATGTTCATTCCTTTAGGTCACTATTTCCTAAAATAAATCTTTGCCATTTATTTATCATACTGCTAGTTTATTTCAGTTTTGTGCAATATAGGGAGCTGTCAACAGGGAAGGGGGGTGGGGACAAATCATGCATATTTGTATGTGCAGTGGATTGTAAAATAAATTCAGGATGGTGCATAGGACAAAGGATTTGGATGTGTAACAATATAGGCTGCACTTCATTTCCGGAATTTTATATTGCATTTCCGAATTTTTTGTTTTCATTTCCGATATTTATTTCTTTGCATTTCCGGAATTTTTGGAGGTACACATTTACTTTTGCGGCAATTTCATGTTAACAAAGAAGGTGGAAGTAGAATTTTAAAAAATGTATATATAATATATATATATATATATACATTTTAAGTTTTTAACTAATATTACGTGTACATTTATTTAAAACCACATTTTCCGAATAAGAACATTACAATACACTGTATATACATGCAGCACTGAGTCTAGTTAAAAGTTTTGCATAAGTTATAAATGAAATTTTTGTTTGCCAGATTTAATATCCACTGAATCATATGTCAGGGACTGCAACAAAAAAAACAGAATTCCCTCAACGATCTTGGTTTTATTCCCTCGACAAGTTTCTGTACATCTTATCAGTTCCATCTTTAACCTATCTGATCTCAAACTGGATATCCATGTATCTTGAATTGAAAAGAAGATGAGCGAAAGTTCACAACACTTACAAAATCATCATACCGGGTAAGCTTCTTTAAAAGCCAAGCATTCCTGATTTTTTGTGCATCAATAATATATTCTTCATTTATTCTTTAACAATTTTTATAAGGGAAGTCTTCTGTTCTATTTTCACTGCCGGAAAAATACAACATGATAAATACTTTAAAATGTCGGCAATGAAAACTTCAAAATATCGGAAATGAAAAATTCAATATTAAAAAAAAAATTCGGAAATGAAAAGCAGCCGGTGTGCATGAGTGGACAAGTAAGAGACAACTTATATTGACTGCTAGGTAAATTTCATGTGAAATGACACCGGGTGGAAGATTAATCTGGTTCTTTTTCTAAAGAGACCACATAACAAAGATTTTTACAATATGTGAGATCTATTTATTTTTTTTAATGCGATTGGTGCATTAATTTTTAAATGAAAGACTAACCTGTAATCTACTCAAAATTGTAGGTGATAATGTCGTTTCGGATTGTGAGCAAATACCGGTACACATGGATATAAATGTATGTATGTTCATGGCTTTCTCCTGTGATATTTATTTAATTTGTTACAATAATCTTGAAGAAGAAAAAAAGTCTACACATTTTAAGAGTTTTGTAACCTTTAATAAATAAAAGTTTGAAAAAAGGTAACGAATATCTTTTCTAAAGGCAGTCCCGTTTCGCTGACCATGCTGCACAGATCATAAAAGAATTGAATGCATTTTTAATATATCTATCTATTTTGGAAGAAAAAAAATATTTCGGGCACAAACATACCAAAAACAAGTGATTCACTTCAGAATAATCGATGTTATTTATTCCAACACGTAAGAATACGGAACTGATTGACGTGATTTACGTAGGTCATGCTTAATCATAGTTAATACGGAATTATATATGAGATCAAGCTAGTCAGTGATGTGCAGTTGAGGGAACATGATGGTATTATGAAATACCATAAGCACAAAGCATTAGGCATGTTAGGTATTGATGGTAAGATTACTGGATGGAAGTAGAAATAGGCGGATCAGAAGAGGTGAAGGCAGACCGGTGTGCAGATTTTCACTTCGTTTTGGTTATACAGCCTCCATTGCATATAGCAACTGAACTATGGTATTTATAGGGGGCTCTCTTAGGCAGCACTCAATTATCTTATCACTATTTTTTTTTTTTACCTTTCTGATCAGCTACTAGTATTTTAATAACATCCTTGTTTTATATGGACTAACCCCCCCCCCCCCCCCCAGTTTCGATGATTCATCCTGTGCTGCCAAGGGCTTCTTCCTTGTGTGTCAACGTTTGTTTGAATATTACACGGCTATTGTGTCTTAAAGGCAAAGCAAACTAATTTTACCTGACAAATTAAGAAAAGTGCAGGGTATGTGATTTTAAAATTCAATTCGTCAACTCTCATTTATTTGCAAAGCCATTAAGTTTGATCAAATTGTAAATATCGCTAATAATAATTTATCAGTTATCCGATTATACATATATAATGAGTTGTTTTAAATCCTCATACCTGGAAAAATGATAATTTGGATATTATAAAAGTGTTCGAATTACACACAACAGTTCGAGTCATGACATATTTTGTATAATTCTGATTTTCCAGACATTTCCAACTGGGTCACTAAAATGCATGATGAATAACCTTCAAAACAAGGTTTTGAGCAAGGTCAATATTAATGTTGACAGTTTATTACGTTTTTGAAAGCTCATCTCTTACGGCATATCAGGTTTCAATATACATGTACGTCAGAAATTCGAATCGGTTAAAATCCCCAAAAAGTTTAAGTATATAGAAACCTGATAAATGTATGTCGTAAGAGATGAACCTTCAAAAAGGTGTGTAGACATACTGCTCGCCACGGTTGTCTCTCTATCTGTCTGTTCTTATATGGAAGAGACTCAATATGGCATTAAAAGGTTATGATGTACGTATATTCCATCCAGGGCCCTGGAATTTATTTCATATTGGAGAGAAGGAAGGAGATTTAACTCGGCAATAAAGTGGCTTATTTACATTTCCGATATTTGAAAGAAATCTAGGTAAAAAAAAGTCTAAAATTTATTTGCATAAAAAATTGATGCAAGTTCTTTTTTCTTTCTCTTTTAAAGAATGCACATTCCAAAAGATAAATGAATTAATTTTTTTTAGAGGTACAAAGATCAAAAATTTGATCATCTCACTCAGCTCCCTCAAGGTTCTACTAACGGCAAATATTTGTTTGTAGAAACCGTTTAAACAGTGGTCAAATTTTGTTAAATAAATGTTCCTAATTGTAGAAACCATAGTTAAAATTTTTGACGTAACAGTTTTCCAAGTAAGAGACATTTTATGTACAAATTAACAAATATAAAATGCACCTTGCACTTTCAGTGGCAAACTGATCTTCAAATTACATCAAATATGTTAATGAAATGCAAGCCAGCATTCAAACTTCTTATTGAAACAATGCTAGCTTGCACTTACACCTCATAAACGATTATCACTTAATCTCCAAATTCTCATTGATGAAATGGCTAAATATTTTGGAAAAAAATCTGCTATATTGCAAAGAGTATTAGTTTGTTACTATCTTTTACATGTACATGGAAAATTTTGAGTCAAACATTTTATGTAAACTTTATGGCTATGCATAGGGTTTGCTGGGAAGTAATTCTCAGGCTACAATAATTAGGAACCCTAACAAAATTTGGGCACTGTATACGGTTTCCACAAACGAAAAATTGCCTTTGGAACTTAATCTCAATAGAAATATGATTCATATATCGAAACTTTCAAAATATTTCTCAAGTACTGGTATATAATTTCTATCGGTCTATAATCTCAATAATGGTCATCATGGGAAATATAACTTCATTTTTTTTTTGCCACATGATAACTATGGTTGAAAGTCAGTTTTTATAAAATTTTTCATTCAAATGAAATCTGAAAAAAATCGATTCTCCAGCGTTATCATTCTAATCGTTTCATGACGTAATTCATTATGACGTCACTGATTTTAAAACAAATGGTTCTGTAAACCAGGAAAAGAAAATGAGTGGAAACTTTCCTATGGAAGATCTTAGCCTGCCATTATTTGACAGTGCTGACAGGAAATACGCCGACCATGAAGAGGAAGAAGGAAACATGTGGACGTTAGGGATGACCGTCGGAGAACGCTTGACAAAAAGAGAAAATCTGCTGCAAAGAAGGAGGCGGATAGTAGATGTTCAGCTAACTATGGCCCTATTTGGCTTCGTACTTATGCTTGTAGAAAACGAACTCTATTTATTGGGATACATTACTAAATCGTCAACAACATCTATTGTCATGAAATCCTTTATATCATTCTCTACTATTTTACTGCTCGTCGCCATTATTATGTATTACGTGACAGTAGTCCAACTGCGTATGACAGATAATCACTTGGATTCCTGGAGGTTGGCTGTGACTTTTCGCAATACTTACTTTAAGATTTTATTAGAATTATTTGTATGCATGCTTCATCCTCTACCATTTGATATTTCTATTCCAATCTCCAAACCAAACGGCGAAATAGTTTACGCTTCGTCTGACGCCATTATGTCCATACTAATGATTTTACGTGTCTATCTTCTTGGCAGAATGGCTGTAGTTCATAATAAGCTTCTAGCAGGTACAGCAACACATGGTTTAGGAGCTCTGAATAAAGTCAAAATTGACGCGCTATTTTTGTTTAAAGCGCTGATGTTCACAAATCCCGGGAATGTGTTGATAGTAATTATGATTTCTATATTGCTCATCAACTCTTGGGCCATGAGAACGTGTGAGGCATTCTACCAATTTGAGAAAGACCACTCGGACTATTGGAACATTATGTGGATGGTATCAGTAACATTTTTAACCATTGGATATGGTGACATATACCCCATTAGTTTATGTGGACGGTTTGTTTCTGTGGTCACTGGTCTCATGGGCGTCGGCACCACAGCACTTCTGATCACCGTATTAGCTCAGAAACTGGAACCATCTCGAGCAGAAAAATATGTGTATAATTTCGTACTAAAGGCACAGTTGGATAAAAGAAGGAAGACGGCAGCCGCTGATGCCATTAAGAACTGGTTTCAATTATGTCGTCTGCGAAGGAGTAATAATATCATTAACATGGAATATATTCGAGTTCACGGAAAACTACTACAAGCCATAAACGCCATGCAGGAAGCAAAACACAAAAGAGATTCCACTGGAGAGTCCACTATCGGTTTTATCGAGATAAGCAAAGGGATGAGTGACGTAGAGAAAAAGACGGAGGAAGTTCAGCGATCCATCAGGAACCTGAAATCAGACCTTGTGTACATGCAGAGAATGTCCAGAGATCTGCAATTCAGATTTAATGATATATACACAGTCTTGGTTAAAAATTGCACGAAATAAACCAAATTAAGACGATTCATTTTAATTTTTTTATGTGACATTCTATAGTAAAAACACCACAAGTTTACGTTATAGAATAGAATAGAATTTATTTCCAAATTTGGACCTCGAGAGGCATGGCATATAACAATTATGATTACATATAAATAATTACATGTATAACACACATCAATACAATTTACATGTAACTAATTAGCTCATTGTTAAGTTTGATAGTAATATAATGATATGATGACTTTATACAAAGTAACTTAGAGAAACAACTCCTTGTTCAGTTTGTATAATCTAGTCTGATAACTAGACACACAAGTTGAAAGGGAAAAAAAAGTGTAAAAGGTTAGTAAACTAATCATATATTTTTTTTTACATATTAATATTTATGCAACATAGTGAATGTAACTTTATGAGTAGAATTTAAGTTAATCAGTGGTGTGTAGTTTAAGTACATAGATCCCCTGATAGTAGGATGCATATGAATGAGATAGAGTCATATATTGCTAAAAAAAACTTGTACAGGCACATCTAAATTTACAAGGATAGTGGCAAAGAAACAAGTTAAAAATCAGTAAATAAATGATAACATATACATGTACAAAGAAAAAACAGCAAGAAGTAGCAAGAGGCGGTGCTAAAGGACATCAATTGGTCCACTTTTACTTGGAGTAATATTCCACTGTTACATATATTATGGACAGTGTCACTGTCTACAAGATTAAAATCAATGGAGTGAGTAGAGGGTCAGTTTTTAGTGATTGTCATAACTGATTTAAGTCTGTAAGGTTGGTCGAAGACAAATACAAGCAATATTTAATATTAGATTTTTGATTTTATTGCCTGAAAGTTAAGAGTGTAACGATAAACCGTTTGACGGTATATCGCGGTATGCTTTTCCACGGTTCAATTCACGATACGCTAAACTGTATATCTCCGTTCGGTTCAATCGGTCCAGAATTATCTGAATCGTCCGTTTTGTTTCCTTGGTTACAATTTCAAAATGGCTTCCGCGCAAAACACGAGGTCGACGATAACGCCTTATCTATTATATCAGCAGTTAAACTTATCTCCAGCATCTTACAAACCTCAGATTTAACACGGTGGAGGACTTTATCTCATTCCTAATGTGATTAAAAGTTATAGATGTTAATACAAATGATAAACCCTTTAGATCTAAACGTATTCTACTGTAATACACAATATCTCATCACGCGTGTATTTCGATGAAAATTCGCTGTCTTGTTGACTAAAACGTGTTAACACGAGAAATATGACAACTGATTTTCTACTTAAATGAAAGAAATAAAAGAATGAATGTCTTCCTTTTTCATTCCAGTTTATAAGGAAGATTATGAGGAAATCCCCGTAGTTCCCTGTAAATGTTCGTCTTAGAATATGTTCACAACTCAAAGATCTACCTATCCATCCAATTCCAGTAAACAAATTGATATTTTAATTATTAAAAAAAATATGAACATTTGATACAAACCTGTCAAGTTAAGACTTCTTAACCTTGTCATGTATTGTGATACGTGTGGTATCGTGAACTGAATACCGTGATACGTATCGTATCGTGAGGTTGGTGTATCGTTGCACCCCTACTGAAAGTAAGTACTTAAACTTGAATCCCTCAACCTCTCTTTAAAAAGCAAACTGAATTTTTCTTGTTGTGTAGAGGAGAAATGGTTTTTCCAATCACCTACTTCTCCTGTAAGTATATCAAGCATTACGATAATTAGTAACCTACTGAAACATAAAAAGTTAATATTCAGAAACATCAAAAAACTTCTGGTCGATTCGATTTGGAAAATCCTTGTCTTTTATGACATAATTACATGTACAAAGTATTACCATAACATTGATTCAACATTTTACTCTTGATCTTGACCAGCAAAAGAGCACCTTTCCTGATATTTTGATTTCGGAATTAATTTGCTTACCTTTCCTGTACAGGTATCCAAATATTCTTGATTTCTTGCGCTCTCTGACTTTAAAAATGTTGCATTCAGAGGCAATTCGAGAAGCAGTTTCCTTGTCACATGGTATGCTCAGATATTCTGCAATCTTTCTTACACACTCTACTTCATCCTAAACATAACATTCTATTCATAAAAGGCCCCAAAAAACTCCCAAAGAATTAATGTTTTCGAAAAGGATGTTTCATAATATATGTTAATTTTCTTAAAACTAAATATCTTTCTTACCAATCATATTTCTGTTACACATATCATTAATGATTTAAAACATCAGATACTACATTTTAATTCCATCAATGAAAAAAAAATCAGAAAATCATGGCAACATGAATGTTATTTGTGACATAACTGGCAATGTCACAATTTTTGTATATTTTTCAAAAATGTTAATTTTAAACTGATTAACTGAATTGCCAAGATTTAATTATTACCAATATAAATCGCCCTAAATCACCCAGAAGCTGGTGAAGGAAAATATTACAAAAGCAAATGAAGCCTTCTAGGATTGCATTTTAGAAGGCTATTTCATGAAAACGAGGGATAAAACCAGAGACCTCGGAATGAAATACTCGGAAGTCTCTGGTTTTATCTTACATTAATAACCCCAACCGGAAGCTTTTGTATCCCATTCAAAGTCTTATTATGAATCAAGGCAATTTTCGAGGAATAACTGAGTGGTTTACAATAAAGAGGCTCGACCAGAGACGTCTGAAACGATTAAATTGACAAGAAAAAAGTCTTTCGAAGCGAACGATGTCATTTTAAAGTAAGTTAATGATTGATATATTAACAAAATACGAGCTTGAAGCGGGGGTGCCTGAAATTGAGTTAGGTACGTTGTGGTAAAAATAAGTAGGGGGTGCCCCGTTATAGGAAACAAGTGCCTGTGGGCTATTTACAAAGATTGTGGCCCGCGTGGCGCAGTGGGTACAGAGTCTGCTCTAGAGTCGCGGAGTAAGGAGCTGATCCTAACGTCGCGGGTTCGAATCCACTGCGGAACGTGGAGACTCGTCCTTCGGCCGAGACCATATAAACCGAGATCCCGTGTCGCAGTAGGTGTTGGCACGAGAAAGATCCCTCACTGCTCTATGGCCCCTGAGTGACGAGTATAGGTATAAATTTGCAGCCCTACACCGGCAATATATACGCCAAGTCTCCATATGAGTGAAAAATTCTCGAGAAGGACGCTAAAAAAAAAAAAATAAAAAATAAAAGATTGTATGAATCTGAAACAATAGGGGCGCACGTTGTGATATATTAACCAAAATCTTACCGCCTTCATCTCTTCATATCGCAGTACTAAAACGTTGCCGGACTTGTAGAATTTCTCCCATTGAAGTTCATACTGGCACCATTCCCCGTATATGAAATCTGTGGAAATTATGAATAAAAATGGTTCAACATTGACTAAAAACCAACGCTGTATTTTTACCGTTTGGATGGGGAGTGTTCGGTGAATATGGGGTATTAAGAAATTTCTGTAATAGTTCAAAAAAGAAATTAAATCATTACGGATATTGTAGTCCATTTGCATTGCACATTTATCTGACACCTACTGCCTGACATAAAATTGGAAAGATGCTCGTTCCAGTCTGTGGTCATGTACATGTAGCCCCTGAAAAGTGGTTCATTCAAAAAGTGGTAGTAAGCCGATACAGCTATATCCCTAGGATCACGGACGATGTGGACTATCTTCCTACCGTTTTTGATATGATCCTCTGGCAGAAAATGAACAGGTAGGTGCGTGTAAAGAATTCGTGGGGATGGTAAAGAATCCATATGAGATAAATTGGATAATAGGTCAAGGAAAGTGAGTTCCATTCGAGGGAATTTTGCTTCCTGATTATGGAGTAATCTACATAGAATTTCATGCAGCCAATGACTTCCTGTGAATAAAATAATGTCATGACTGATCTGTTAAATCAGTTGATCTAAAATTATAATCACTTACTATCAAACTAGTATTAACTGAGAAACATATAAAATAAATATTAAAGTATATAAGTGTATATATATATATATATATATATATATATATATATATATATATATATATATATATATATATATATATATATATATAAACGCTAATTTTTACGTACATGTACGCACTTCAGGATAAATAACACAAAACTTTTTTTTCAGAAATCAACAATATATTATATAGATTTATATTCATTTAGGTAACCAGAATAATGTTTGCCAGGGTAATTGTGAAAATTTTGTACGATTTTGTAATAATGTTAAAAATGTGTGCAAAATTTTGTATAGATTTACATAGAAAACGGCACAAAGTCGCATATTTCAGCACCAAAGAAAACTTAAAACTTTTTTTAGGGATTTATTATTTATTTTTATTTCTATTCAGAATCAGTAAAAAAAAATATAAATCAGTCTTAACAATCACAATTACACTTGTACCTCTAATTTGTATTTCCCGCGTTTTGTCCCTAAGTCTCTTATTTACCCATAAGTCCTTTCAAAATAGCTTGCTGATCAGAGCAACCGAAGACTGGCCATTCCCGGCAAAGAAGCGTAGCTGCAGACAAGTTTTTAGCTCTACTGGTCAGAGACCAGAAGACCTTATGCGATAGTAAGGTGTCTGTCCGTGTTATTGAGACATTTTTTTGCTACTCCTCCTACAGTTTTGGTTTGATTTCAGTATAACTTGGCACACAAGTAAGGGTTCGAAATTAACTTTTGTAAGCACTAGTCCGTGCGGACTAGTGACTTCCAGTTTTCACTAGTCCGTAAAGCATTTGACTAGTCTACCTTTTGTCTTATGATAATGATAACATACCCGTGATAAACCTTCTTTATAACTTTAACCCCCCCACCCATCTATTTTTATGAGATAAAATTATTATTTTTGAATATAAAATTAAATTCTGATTCATCTGTAGCTACAGAAAAAAAATTGCAAGGTATCAAACATACAAATACTGTTTTTATTACATCAGTAAATAACAAATACTTAAACTTAGCAGTGATATACTTCAAAAAATTCCCCATAAATGTCTATAAACGGAGTATCAAAAAGTGTCAATAAACAATTAAAACGGTGAATAAATGTTTTTATGAATTGATTGTATCACTGAGTGAGAAAAAAAATGGAAAAAGGTTGGTTGACATTTTTGGGGCATTGCTGGTATTAGTCTCACCCCTGACCAATTATGTCCGTAATTTTACAGATTGACAATTACCTTGATAACCGTGATCTGTGTGTGATTAAATAATTTTCTAATAACGTATATTGCATTTGTTTCTTTACAAATTAGGCCATTCCAAGTTTTTTCTCTGTTTAGCGTCCACCCATCTTTCAAAAACCTACCTACCTATTTGCAAAAAACACACAAACCAAAAAATAAAACACAGACTTTATACTCATAATAATGACGTCACTCGAAGGATTTGATTTCATGAATCTATTTTTCTCGTAGAAAAAAAAACATTCTTCAGCAAAATCAAGGTATTCAATGCTTATATTATCAATATTCCTAATATGATATAATGTAGACAAATATTTTGAAAAATTGACAGAATTCAGTGATTTTGACCAGAATATTCAATTTGAGGACCCATGATTCTGTTTTTGTTTTTTTTTAAATATGTAGTGTCAAAAACCAAATCGCACGCGGACACTAAACATAGAAAAAACTTGGAATGGCCTTATCTGTGATCATTTACCCCATGTGTTGCAACAATAACTTAATTATAAACTTTTTATTGCTTGAAGATACGATGTATCATTATATATATGTTACGATTTTGGGAACTTGCAGGCTGTAAAAACAGCTTTAAACATAAGAAAATTTCAATACATGTACATTTACTATTTAAATAATTTAGGACGATTTTGTGAATGTCAGTAATTATGCATGGCAATTAACCTCTTCCTGACGGCCACCTTCTGGGAACTAGTGCTAGTCCGTACGGACTAGTGCTACATGAATTTGACTAGTCCGACACAATTTTTACTAGTCTCGGACTTACGGACATGAGCTAATTTCGAACCCTGCAAGTAAACTACACTAAAATACATAATTATATATATATATATATATATATATATATATATATATATATATATATATATATATATATATATATATATATATATATATATATATTGATTTTGATGAACGGTGTTGCCATGATTACTAAAAATAGAAATTTATGTGAAAATACATTCAGAACGCAACTCCTCTTATGTATCCTTAATCCATTGGAGGTCACCAGAACAAAAATACAGACACGTAGTATCGGGGGGGGGGGGGGGGAGCTTGCCTCCCCCTACATTTTTTCAAACATAACGACATAATTAACTTTTTACAGTTGAAAATGTTCCTTAAAAACTCCACCCACGCTTTTTGTTGCGGTCTTCGAATTCTTAAGGACCCTCTATACAACAATGCAAAATGTTTTTAAGGCTCTGAGAAAATTATATCATATAAAGATATAAATATGGAGTTTATCTATTTAATTTTCAACATAGGGTACCTGCCATTTATCCCCGGGAAAAATATTGACAAAGACAATGAAGATTTCAATTTATTTCCATTTTAGATCTAAGGGCAGATCACTCTAACTGCATAAAGATACCATGGAATTGGAAGTCTTTGTGCAGTGTATAGAGGGTTTTAAATCATGGTAATGTGGTAATGTATTAATAATATTTGGGTTTGAAAAAAAAAAAATTGAACCCCCCCCCCCCCCCGACACACACACAAAATAGGATTTTGGAGTTCGGATCATATACTTTTTTTTTGGTTGTCAAAATTTTTACAGGTAAGGTGTCTTTTTCTTTAATTCTGCCCCCCCCCCCTTTCGAAAACGAAAAAACGGTACAACGTACCTGAATTTGATAATATTTTTATCCGGCTGGTACTTCTACTCGTGTAAGACTTCATTTTTGGGGGGTGATGGTGGTAAAATTTAACATATCCGTCTTACCTGATTTAGGATAGGAACTGACAAGTATATCCTCTTCTCTGGTTTGTAAATGCTGTATATCCTTTAATCGCTGTGTTGCATTCCTTAAATAACCATCCAAAGGCGGGAGAAGCATCCCATTGGGGCATCTAGGGAGTGGCTTATACATTCTGGACTAAGAAACTAAGAAAAACCAAAATTTTATTTTTTTTTAACTACTTCATATAATTCAATGTTGACAAATGCACAGAGCCGATAACGGTGCATATTTTACCCCATTTTATACGCACCACTTCTGTTGACAAAAAAAGATCATAAATTAGACCGGAAGATGAACATTTACGAAAGCCTATTAAGATCAAACTACGGTAAAAAAATATTTAAAAGGCGTTATAACGCCTTTTCAAAAGGCGTTATAACGCGAAAAAAGGAGTTATAACGCCTTTTCAAAAGGCGTTATAACGCGGAAAAAGGCGTAATAACGCAAATGAAGGCGTAATTACGCCTTTTCAAAAGGCGTTATAACGCGAAAAAGGCGTTATTACGCCTTTTAAAAGGCGTTATTACGCCTTTTTAAGAGGCATTAATACGCCTTTCAAAAAGGCGTTATTATGCCTTTTGAAGGGCCATTATTATGTCTTTGACAGGCCCGTGATTTTAAAGTGGGGGGGGGGGGGGGTCCCATTAAATTGACAAGCAAACAAAAAAACAAGAACCCCCCCCCCCCCCCGAAAAAAAATGCCTAAACTTGAGGGGAAACTTTTTCTAATTTTTCGGTAAAACTTTTTTTTAAATGCAATGACTTGCCCGAGTTTAACCATACTGCAACAAAATGTTAATTGACCAAGCAATCAATTAATGATTTTTTATATTTAAACTATAGCAAGACTATTCTCCCAAAAAGTGGGGTGGGGGACCCCCCCCCCCCCACTCACATTCGTACTACCGGCCTGTTTGAAAAGGAGTTGTATCCAAAAATGGAAAGGCGTTATTTTAAAATAGTAAATATATGAAAGACTGAACCAAAGCCATCTTTATTTATGCAATATTTAGATTATAGTTTTAATATTATAAATTATATTATAAATTATAGTATTTTCTATATTCCTACACATCTCGCAGACAGTTGTTTGCATTTTGCATGCATATTAAGAGAAGTCAACACTCTACTTTTGAAAATCCAAGATATAGGCAGAACCAGCTTTGGGCTTTGCTAGCCACGTATTAAAAATTCATATCAAATTTGAAATATTTTTCTCTCCTCTTGGTAAAAAACAGGCAAAGTATTTGCATAGGTATAATGAGCAATTAGCCTTCAACAAAATTTCTGAAATCCATACACCTTGGTAGAAGCGTCTGGCATCAGAGAAGGACTAAGTTGGTTTAACACTGAAAATATTTTACACATTTAAAAATCTTTTTTCCTAGAAATCTAATTATAATCAGCCCCCAGGGTGGGCTAAGTAAGTCATGTATTGAAAAAAAAGAGGCGTAATAACGCCTTTTGGAAAGGCGTAATAAAACCTTTTGGAAAGGCGTAATAATACCTTTTGGAAAGGCGTAATAACGCCTTTTGGAAAGGCGTATTAACGCCTTTTGGAAAGGCGTAATAACGCCTTTTAGAAAGGCGTAAGAACGCCTTTTTGGAAAGGCGTAATAACGCCTTTTGGAAAGGCGTTATAACGCCTTTTGGAAAGGCGTAATAACGCCTTTTGGAAAGGCGTAATAACGCCTTTTTTGCGTTATAACGTCTTTTGGAAAGGCGTAATAACGTCTTTTAGAAAGGCGTTATAACGCCTTTTAGAAAGGCATAATAACGCCTTTTAGAAAGGCGTAATAACGCCTTTTGGAAAGGCGTAATAACGCTTATATTTGCGTTATTACGCCTTTTTCAGCGTTATAACGCCTTTTCAAAAGGCGTTATTACGCCTTTTTTCGCGTTATAACGCCTTTTGAAAAGGCGTTATAACGCCTTTTAAATTTTTTTTTACCGTAGTTTGATCCTAATAGGCTTTCGTAAACATTATTCAAACTACTGTATTTTGTAAAGAACTTTCATCGTCAGTGTTCTATGAACAGTTGGGATTTTGCACGTCCTTGAATAGTGGACGAGGAAAAAATATGCCAATTCAAAGATTTCTTGTAATCTGAAGAGGTCCGTGTGAAAAATATTTTGTTTTACAGTGTTTTTAAAATACAGTGCTTACGGTAGTGTCCTTTACAAAAATTTTGGTATTTCTATGCAAAATTTGTACATGACAATTTATCATGTTAACCGTATTATTTCGTATTCATGATCACTTTCATATGTTGAACAAAATATTAATGATCAAAATAAAATGAAAAAAAAATATTTATTATCTTTTGTTATCCAATCTTATTCCATCACAGAATTGACAACAAACACAGTCATGTACATGTATGTCAGCGCTGCAATATTTTGATGGATTTGCGATGTAGAATAATTTATTGTATATTTTTTGTAATGTCTAAAAGAAAAATGTAATCATTTAGTTATAAACTCCGTATCCATCATTTTGTATATTATTTACTAAACCTTTATAATCCACTAGCTGTAAAATGTTGATGATATTAAAATAAAAAATGATTTTTTAAAATCTTAATTCAATATAGAACTGCATAGATGCTTCCAGTACTTCTACTTTTCGAAAAACATGTAAACGTATGCCTGATATTTGTTTCAATTTAAATCACATTTACTTCTATTATAATAAATCTATCAATATACAGTCCCTGAAACGTTCTACTTTCTCACTTGAACGGTGAGCGAACGCTGAACGAACGCAGAGCGAACGGTGAGTGAACGATGAGTGAACGCTGAACGCAACTTGGTGAACGATGTGTGAACGGTGAGCGAACGCAGAACGCGAACGAGCGCAAACGCGAACGCAAAGTGAACGGTGAACGAACGGTGAACGCAAGATGAACGATTTGTTCGGAATGCCTTTGATCTTTTCCTTACATTGAAACTATTCTATTGTATGTATAACTGGTGCTAAAAAATGAATGAATAATAAATAAATAAACAAATCAATGAAAAGTATTCCAAGAAAGACGATACATGCACATTAAGTAAAATTATTAATTTTAGTTTCTAACAATATTTTCTGCGCATATGTACGATGTTTAAATTCAACTTTTTAATAAGAGGATTTTTATATCTGTAAAACATTGTAATTGTTACCGAACACTGTAGTATAAAAGATAAAATTAATCTAGTTGTAAAATAAATATGTTTATTCTTATTTGATATTAAAAAATCATTACAAATAATGTGGATTTTAGAAGAGCAAACTACGGACTTATAGAATAAATTACAACGGTTGTAACAACCATACATATATTTCCGTGCCAAGACGAATCCGTGTAAAATAATGAGAAAAAAATAAAATAAAATATTTTACAAAAGTATGTGGACGTATTGCATAAATACACCCGTATTTCAAAATTTTAATGCAATAATATATTTATAAGTCAGTTTTATTTTTTATGATGATTTATTGAGCAGACTTCTACATGTTTCCCGGCCGTGATTATACTTGGACAAGATGATACAAAGAGGCATTCATATTACTTGTTGTATATTAAATTTTCACAACCTCATATTTAAGTAATATGCTGTCATAGTTTTTATTAAACAGACAAATGAGAGAGAGAGAGAGAGAGAGAGAGAGATTCGGTCTTACCCACCCACCCACCCCTTTCTCAAATGTTTGTACCTATATCAAATAAAATTTCTTAATTATTTTCTAAATATACCAGGCAATGAAAAAACTATTTTTATCACCAAACCTATTGTGTTACAGTCATAATCGGTTTTTATTTTCCTGCTTCAAGTTCACACGAAGTCCACGTGCTTGACCTGTCAATCAAAATCATTCGACACTGTGCAGGTGTGAAAGTATCGTCACACCGAAGGCAAAGTGTTAAGGACATTGGCAAGGTTCCTGGTTATTGTATAGAATTTTTCAAGAACTTTTGAGTAGGTTTAAATGCACTAAACATGCTATATTCTGGATCGTTTTACCTACCAATCCAACATTCTTTTTTAGATTTTGTCAAATTAGTGTTTTTACAATTCTTAATGCATTTCCTATGTAAAATGTTGATAAAAGGGACCTACAAAATTTTTCACCATAATATTTCTTCAAAACTCATTTATTTCATACAGTTTTTGTATTATATACATTATTGTATCTTCATTTCCTATGACTTCTAAATATTTTGGCTGAAAATGTATATATAGAAACAAGACATGGCTATACCGGCACCGATCATCATTTTTGAGTTGCGTCCCTTAACAGCTAAAATTGGTCAAGAGACTGGTTGATTGTTTTTATCATGTAATTGACTGAATTGATTGAAACACATTGTCATAAAAATATTAGCATGGATTTATTTTTAACTTTATTCGTAATTACTAAATGCTGATTCCTTCACACGACCTAAGAACTGTTCTCAGTCGGCATGGTCGACTTACCTTCCAGCATATGTCACATCTTTGCCCTTCCCAGCATACTGAGCATAACTATGGTAAATGACGACCTGTTGGCTCTTTGTCCCTGAATACAATGTACAACAAAGCCATTACTACTTTTCTTGCTTGCTGTATAGATGATTCTACCCGTTGAAGGAAGTGCACGTGCTTTTGTTTACCTCTGTAACATACGGCGATACGCTTTATTAGTTTTCACCGCTTAGAGAATTCTACACGGGAGATCACTCTCAATCACTATTTTATAAGGAAAAAAACCCCATGTATTAAACCTTTTTTCTCCGGAAAACCCTGACTTGCCAATGTCCTTAAGTATCTCCGAGAAGTTTTAACATTTTTTCTTATCATTTCTAGATCTGATTCCAATATTTCTAAAAAAAAAAAAAAAAAAAAAATAAATAAATAAGATACATTGGGAATAAACACTTGGAATGATTAAGCCGCTTGAATTTGAAACCTACTCCCTGCCAATTTAAAATATCACCGCCGGCACATGCATGTATATTTTGAACTACTATTGTTTAATGACTTTGTTTAGATGCATGTTTATTTTAAGACTGAATTTTTTGTGCTACAAAACACATTAACTTCTATTTAAATGTTAATTAAAATATACTGGAAATACTAACTAACAGATTTACGGAAAAGGGGGGGGGGGGGTCTTAAT